TTTTTGTTACATGTTTTGAGATATTTCATCTATTTGATTTTCTAGACCTGTTTTTGAGTTTTATCAGTGACTATCCTCTCCTTTGATTTATCTGTGGACATTTTTAGTTCTGATATCACATTTTCATGTTCAGGGAAATCTTTTGTGTTTGAGCTTCACACATATCTCCTCCAGGCTCTCATTTTTTCAGTCAGAGGTTCATCTGTTTCCTCCAGCAGGTCTCTCTGCCCTCTAGTTTGTTTGCATTCTCCCAGCCTCAAGGGCTGAGAAAGTCAGTCCACCATGAGTTTTTTGGAGAGTCAGGGAAACTCAGTAAAGCCATTCATTGTTCTTGGGAAGCAGGCTGTTTCTGGGACTTGCTGCCTTCCTGAAGGTCTTTGCTCTTGGCTCTGAGACTGTTCTCCAGAAACTTGTCTGCAGGGAATTCTCTCAGCCAGGAGTTCAGCAGAGCCCACGTAAAGCTCATCACCTAGGGATTTCCCTGGTGGTGCAGTGGTTAAGAATCCGCCTGTCAATGCAGGGGACACGGGTTTGAGCCCTGGTCAGGGAAGATCCCACATGCCGCGGGGCAACTATGCCCGAGCACCACTACTACTGAGCCTGCACTCTAGAGCCCGTGCTCCGCAACAAGAGAAGCCACTGCAATGAAAAGTCCATGCACCGCAACGAATAGTAGTCCCCACTGCCTCAACTAGAGAAAGCCTGCGTGCAGCAATGAAGACCCAATGCAGAGAAAAATAAATAAATAAATTTTTTTAAAAAAGTTCATCACCTATAGCTGGGAGCTATCGGGGGGTGTGGAAGCTTCTGTAGTGTTGCCACATGCCCAGAATCCCCTCGCTCTGGGTAGTCTAGGTATTATTGACAGATATAGTGATATTCACCAAAAGACTTAAAAACAGAAGTCATTAATAGTAGGTGCCTCTGGGAACTACAACCTTTTACTTTATTTTTTCCCCCCCTTCTAGGATTTCTCAACTTTGGCACTTTTAACTTTTGCGGCCAGAAATTCTTTGTTGAGATTGGCTGATCTGTGTGTTTAGCGGCATCCCTGGCCCCTACCCACTACAGACCAATAGCACTCCCTCTCCAATTGTGTCAGCCAAAAATGTCTCCGGATATTGCCAAATAAACTGTGGAGGGTGCAGTCACTTCTCGTTGAGAACCACTGTTGTATACCCTTCAGATTTATTTGATTTTTTTTATCATGTGCTCACACTATTCCTAAAATTAAACATTTAACTGAGGTTATGAGACAGAGGAGGAAATACAAAGCTGTTGTGAGGAAACAGAAGCATGAAGTAGAGAATATACATTAAGAGATGCTGATGCAAATTAGCAAAGTGGGAAGAAATTGGGAAATAAATAAAAGAGGCAGAGACGGAGAATCTGAGTCACAGGACTGGAGGAGCAGGAGTGTGAAGACCCACATCCTCCTGTCCCCAAGGTCCCCAGTGATGCCAAGATCTGAGATCCAATAACTGTCTGCACAGGCCCAGTCAGATCATAGCCACTGTTCTGGGATTCCCATTCCATCCAGTCTCTTAATTACCCCAGGTTTCCTTACAATAAACACCCCTTTACTTAAGCTAGGCTAAATGAGTGTATTCCTTATCAACAAAGTCCCTGTAGATTTAGTGCCCAATAAAGAGATGGCTCCCCACTGTTGCTGCCAGTATTATATTCACTTCTTAGCACCACACTTTATTAGGGATTCTGGTCAAGTGAAACAATGGGAAGGATGAGTAGGCTGCAAATACGGTCTATAAAAGAACTGTAAAAGGAACTTTAGAGAGCTCTTCCTGGGAAGAATGGGGGAAAAAAGGCTTAGGCCATCCAGCAAGGCTGGCTTCCAATTCCTCCTGGGCTGTCATGTACAGGAGGAAGAAGACTGATTGTATGCCTGTAGCTTAGGAGGCAGAATTGGTGACAAAAGTAACATGCAAGCAGATTTTGCTACCCCCACCCACACACAAAAAAGTCTCAATAAGAAAGACGGGAAAGCAGCATTTGGTAAGGTAGTGAGCTCCGAATCTCTGGGAGTGTTTAAGAAAAAGCTCACAGTGTGGTTCCTGCAGTGGGTATAAGTTTGGGTCAGATCTGTCAGCCTCCTTCCAGCTATACAATTCTATAGAAATGTAAAAGCTTGGCAAGAGGCTAGGTTAACTCACATAGTTGGCAGAAATCTCTTAGGGTCAAATGGCATGACAGCACATTCAAGTATTAAATCAGAGGAGGGTGGCTGGTGGAGGAGTTGAGCGATAAGAGGTTTAGCATCTTCAGCTGGCCTTGGTCAGCTGGTCTTTCCCCACAGAATTAGTCAGAACTCGTGGTTGGAAGAGTTAGAAAATCTAACTTAGTCTGACTTAAGCAAAAAAGTGACTGTATTAGCTTGCATAACCAAAGAGTTCAGTAGGCAGGTCTAGCTCTGGGCATGGCTGGATTCAAGGTTTCAGATGAAGTCATTAAGACTTGGTCTCTCTCCATGTCCCAGCTTTGTTTCCCTCCTTTGTAGCCAAAACCAGCTTGTAAGTTTAGAGTTATCTTGACAGTGCAGAGCAAGGTCAACGTTGGAGGGGCCTTGGCTGAAGGGCCTTCGAGGCCCTTCCCCACCTATAAGTAATTCCTTAAGAATTTCCTATCATTGAGCCTTTGTCGACCCAAAGACCCTGCCTCTTTGCATCTTGAGCCGGAATCTCAGGAAGAGGGGGAACGCTGGGCTACACCCCCACCCCCGCGGGCCCTGGTGGCTTCCCCTAAGGATTCGCCCCTGGCAATTTGCCGAGGACAGGGCTCTCCTTCTGGCTGGAAACAGACACCAGTGAGGGAAGGGAGGCTGCTATGGAAAGCACCTGGAGCTATGGATGGGGCGAGAACTACCAGGTATTTCGTGAGACGAGTTGATCAGCTAGCGAGATGTGGCAAGGGTGTCTGAGGCGGATCTGGCTGCCCCGACTTATTTCCTAGACTCAGGGATCGATTAGTAAGTTGCCGCAGTCCTGGCGTTCAGTCCTGAGGGCCTAGGCTAGGGCACGAGCCTCGGTGACAGGCGAGATAAGACGGTAAGAAAAATTCAAGGGTTGTAGGAGGCGGAAGGCAGAGGGTCCAGGCTTCGGGAACTGGAAGGAGAACAAAGTTCAAATAGCACCCAGCTTCAGACAGAGTGAGTCCGCTAGGTTCCGCGAACGGGGGAGGCGGCAGCTCTGAGAGCTACACTGCCAGTGCTTCGAGAACTCCCGGGAGACATTCGAGGTGGGGGGG